TTAATTACTTAGTATTATGTAAGAAACATTATAGATAGCTATAGCATGTTATAAGAAAAGTTTTAAGTTTTATTTAAAAGCTTAAAAAGTAAGCTATATCTAATGTTCTTTAGAAGATTTAATCTAGTGTTGTTGTTAAGGCATTATGTAGATAGGTAGAGTTTAGTAAGGGCTTAGCAAAAGTAGCTGGCTAACCTGTGTGGCCGGCTAACCTGTTAGGTACGTTAGCACTTTTTTAAGTTATAATATATAAATTAGTAATTAACGTACTTTATAGGCAAGTTGCTTACACACCTAAGTTGCTTACTTTTGCTAAGACCCTACTACACTACCCTTTTTACACTAATGCATTTCTAATAACACTACTTAAATGTGTTAAAGAAATATTAAATGCAGCTTACACTTTAAGCTTTTAAATAAAACACAACACTTTTTAACTAACACACTGCAGCTATCTACAGGGTCTTTTAAAAGATAATAAGTAACTAACGCGCTAAACAACCTTTTTAAGCTAATTATACAGCTAACTTATAAAAGCTAGATAATAATAAGAAGTAGGTAATTATTTAGCACATACTTAAGCTAGATGCGTAAGGATTTCCCCCCTAGCTAGTAGCTGTAGCTAATATAGCTAATTCTTTACACACTAAGTGTAATATAAGCTATATTAGCATAAACTAGCTTAATATATTTATTAAGTGTTACCTAAAGCTTAAAGTAAAGTTTAAGTGTAAGTATAACTATAAAAAAGCTTTTTATAAAGATCTTATAGTAATTTAAGGCTAGTTTAACTTTATAGAGAATATTAAAGCTAAGTATAGCATTTAGAATAATAACATGTATAACTTTAACAAGACAGAGTTTATAATAGGCTAGATATCTACAAGAGCAGTTATTATAGGTTTAGAGAGATAAGGACAGCTAAAAGCAGTCTAGCTAGGTAACTAAAAGTAGACAACAGCTATCTAGAGCATTAATGCTAAAAAGTAGGCTATTCTGCCCTTTATTATTTTTTAGGGTGGCAACTACTTTTTAAACTAGTATAAAGAGGAAAATCTACTTTAGAATTAAGTTATTATAATCTCTAAGCATAGCTAGACTACTAATTAGCTTAGTCTAGACTAGTTAAAGCACTTTAACGCGCATATAAAGAAGTGTACTGTTAGTAGCTACTGTCTGCTAGTTATTAACAGCTATAAAAGCTATAACTTACTTTATTTTTAGTAATACTATAAGAATAATAAGATTATTACTATCTATATGCCTTTTTACTTATCACACCTTTTATAGCTACTTAATGTAGGTTGTTTTACTTCTTTAAAAAAGGTGTATAAGTGCTAAGCTAAAAACCTTATACATAACTAAATTACTTATATTATAAAGATAAAGTTCTTGCTATGCTTTAAAGTAGCCTATAATGCTATAATTACTTTTAGTAATATCTAAGAAGGGTTCTAAGGCGCTAGATTAGTTCTTTTTAACCTATAATAAGTTATAATAGGCCTTAATGTAAAGTTGTGCACTCTATTACTACTACTACTTATATATAACAAGCTTTAGTAGTTATAAACCTTAAGCAATACCTTAGAACTTAGGTTATAATTAATGCTTATAAAGATAAAAATTTAGAAGCATATAAATAGTTTACTAACTTTTATAGTTAAGGTGTTTAAGAAGGTCTTAAAGAGGGTAGTAATAATTACGCATAAGCTAGTGTTAGTGTAATAAGAAATTACTAAGCTTTAAGCAGCTAATAAGGCTACTATACAACATAAATTACATAAAAGAAAGTAGATTAAGGCAAAAAGGACCTTAATAATTTAGAAAGGCCTATGCTTAATAGCTCTAAAAGAGTTTAGGGCGCGCAGTAACAGGAAGAAGGCAAAGAAGCAGGTGTAAGCTAAAGTAAGTAAGCTATCCTAAAGGCGCTGCAGATAGTGCAATTAGACTAGGCATAACACGCAAACATGTAAGCAAGAAGTAGAAGTAGTATCTAAATAATATTCTAGGCTGTACTGTACTATATAGTGCTAGAGCGGGTTGTTATGGGCCATAATAGAGTTTGTTAGGGTGGGGTCTTGGCAAAAGTAAGCGACTCAGGTGTGTGAGCGACTCGCCCATGAAGTACGTTATATAACTTATATATAATTAAATTTATAAGCTTATTAAAGCTTTTAATATATTAATTTTATTATTTTAGTACTTTAGGCTAGTTTTATTTTATATTGTTACTTTTAATATCTTTATATTTTTTATAAGTTATTTATATAATACAAAAATTTCTTTATTTTTTTATTATTATATAAAGTTATTAGTTACTAGTAGAATTTTAGTATAGTTAGTAGTATAGTTAATTACTTTTTTAGTAAATTACATAAGTACTGCTATTATCTAGCTACTAGGTTATACAGCTTTAATAGCTTTAGTGTGCATTTTACACTATCTTTTTTTTACTTTATATAGTAGTAAAGCTTACTATATAATGTAAAAAATTAATCTACTATTTTTAAAACTAAGTAATAAAATAAAGTACCTTATAAAGTATAAGTAATTTATTATTACTTTTACTAATTTATAGTTAATTAAATTAACTATTAATTAGTGTTAAATAAGCTCTAACAGCTAGCTGCTTATAGTATAAGCACTTAAGTAGTAAAAGTAAGAGTAGTGTATAGTGTGCATAGTGTATAAAGTAGGTAAAGTAAAGGTAATATATTTCTAGTTCTATTACTTTTATCTTTCTTTTATACAGAGAAAAAAGGGGATATCTAGATGTTTACGCACAGAGGTTTACGCACAAGCATCATGTGACATAGATACGTGATCCTGCTTGTGCGCGATAGCTAGTATCTAAACTGTGACGCTGCTGCTGCGTACAGACATACTTTTTATTATTATCTAGCCTTTATAAGTTAGCTATAGAATTAGCTTATAATAGTTATTTAGCGTGTTAGTTATTTATTATTTTTTAAAAGACTTTATACATAGCTGTAGCATATTACTTTCAGAGTGTTGCGTTTTATTTAAAAGCCTAAAGTATAAGCTATATCTAATGTTCTTTTAGCGTGTCTAAGTAGCATTATTAGGAATAAATTAGTATAAAAAGAATAGTTTAGTAAGATCTTAGTAAAAGTAAGTAACTTAGGTGTGTAAGTAACTCGCCTATAGTGTATGTTAGAAGTATAGTAAAAAAGAAAGTTAGTAAAGATTAAAAAGGTAAAAATAGTAAAATAATTAAGTAGCTTTAGTTTTTATAAATAGAAAAAAGTCTTCTACACACCTTATATTAAAAAGAATATTAGATATATTGCTATATTTAAAGCTGTGCTTTAAAGATAAGAATAACTATAACCTTCTAAACAGTAGAAGAAAAGCAAGACTATATAACTGTCTATAATTACACTAATTGCAGGTTTTAAAAGTGATTACAGAATATTTCTTACAATTACTACAATCACCTGCTAAGCCTTGCGATCACACTATACTTGATATATATTGTCACGTGATCCCTATAGGCTGTGCCCCGACCAGCATTGGTCCATCCTTCCTCTGTGGGGTTAGAGGTTCGACATGCTCCTCTAGTCTAACTAGTGGTTGTAACAATGCCTCTAAGTAGATTCACACCTTATTTAGACCTATTGTCTTGCTTGCGCTATTACATTTACTATATTATACTTTATAAGGTTAATATATAGTTTAATACTTAATCTAATAGTTTTTTAATACATAAAGTATTAAGTAGATTAATTTACTAATAAATTAATAGTTAAATATTAATACTATTTTATATTTTAGTAATAACTTACTTAATTTAGAATTTACTTTTACTTTTAACATTTATTTTTAACTTAATTTTCTAACTTTATTAAACAGTATAAATATAGTACTATAAAACTAGCTATTTACTTTTATCTTTTATTAAGTATTAGTAAAGTTATTAGCTTTAAATATTTTTTAATTCTATTTAAATTAGGTAGCTAAATATTAGTGTTATAAATTAAATTTATAAAGAGAAAATATAGAGGTTAATATAAGCTTTAAAATTTTTACTACTAATGTATACCTCTTACTATTCTAAGCTTTGCTTTTCTAACACATTTATAAATTAGCGTAGTATGTTACTTTATAGAACTAAATAGTGCTAATATAGGCTAGAATAGAGTGTAGTTTTAGTAGAGTCTTAGTAGAGTAGCTAACTTGCCTATGTAGCTTACTTGCTTATAAGGTACGTTAGTATTAAAATCTATATTTTATTATAAGATAGTAAAACATCTATATGTATATAAAAATCCGCTAATGCACGCTAATATTAATTAATAACAATAACCACCAACCTACTTGGCAGTATTAAACTCTAACACTACACTAGAGTAGCTGACTTTTTTACGTCCGTAGGCCACGATGATCTGCCATCTCGGAGTGCATTTCTCCCGTTGGATGCGTTTTGCTTACATTCCACATCCTTCTGGATAAATTGCCAAGGATGCCGACGGGCATTTGCTGCACGCCTCACGTCTTATGACTAGGGTGGAGGTGCATACTCCGTGGCCAGTGCGCAGCCACTCGGCCCATGCACCAGAACAAACGATGAACCGGCGGGTGGTGAGCTGCATCTGCAAGTCAGATTTCAATATTGACGACACAATTGTAAGGGTGGACGAAGAGCTGAGGGCTATCTTGGCGGCTAGCTTAGCACATTCAATCAAGACTGGGAAATAGTATCATCGGAAGTAATACTATCAAAACTTGGGCGTTAATTGCTTTGCACAATGCAAGGTCAACGCGGCGCAGCATCAGTCACGGTGAGATTCTTCAGAACTTGGAACCACGTCACCCACAACAGCTACCGGACAAACACCGCATCTCTATAACATGAGGATAAAATAGGCGAGACAACATCTCGGAAGCAACGTGATGATTTGGAACGTTATGTTACACTTTTTTTTAGCAACACAGTGCAATTATACCTTGCAGGTAGATTCTTAGGGGTATTATGTGGTCTGCAGATGTCCAACTCCGTGTCTTGTGTAGGGAAGCAAAGGTCCCAACGTTATCCTGACCCCTACAACTATATACTTGATCCTGCCCTGCCACGCTTCCAGCCTTGCTTGGGCAAGAGCATACCCCGAGTTCAAAGCTTCGATCCCCGTAAGCGTTGGACTACAGCAGCCCCCACGATCCAGACCCAAGGGATCCACCTTCCCAGACAAGCCTTATTGCATCAAAGTATTCTGTCCTATATTTAGAGATGTGATTGCAGTGTGGTGTGTCTTCGAAAAGTAATTCCTTCACATCCCATCCGTGCCGTCGGGCGTCATCAGCATGGCTGGTAATGTCATCGCACTCCACGTGAGCATCAGCTTTCGAAAAAATGTAACAAATCCTCCTGCAGTCGACAATATTCTCATCCAATAATGTCCGACGATAAATTCTTTCTGGTTTCTCCCATCCAATCAACTGAGAGCCAAAGAGGACGTTAGTAACGAAGGCGATAACGATAGGCCCAATGATACTCCAGAAGATGCCTTTGGGGAGCGAGAGAAGCATCGACTGGAAGGATTTCCAGTATGTTCCTCGTGCTGGTCCGCTGTCGCATGTAATTCCTGTAATAGGTATTGGAGCACCGAGTTGTCTCCGTAGCACTATAAGCATTTGCGTCGCCGAATTCGTACCGCCGTTTGAGAAGGTGTGAATCGTGATGTTCGGGTTCGTCACCAGGCCTCTTTTTCCGTATCCGCATTCATCAAGTACCGCACGAACTACCTGTGTGGCAGGCTGAATTGCTACCCTTTGTCTAACGTATGGACTAGCGATGATCCAAACTGAGGATTCAATAAGCAGGATTTTGGAGCGAGGTGCGATTTTGCTGTATCCGCTCGCGTATTTCGCAATGTGATTTTTGCCAGCGCCCAGCCAGGTGCAGAGGATAACTAGCTGGCCTGGTGCAGGGTCTGGGGGGACGAAGAGTGATATGTGAGGGCCTAACGTGGAAAATACGCGGTCGAGATCACCGACTAATGGTACGGCCATATTTTAAGTATTGGGAGGCTAGAGTCGACGTGATGCAGGATGGGAGGCGAACCTTGCATGAAAAGAAGGTAGCGGAGACAAAATGCTGGATTTCACCAAATAAAAACAGCGAGGGCAACAATGAGCGCTTATATACCCCAGTACTACTGCGTATGCTAATCCTAGTTCGTCTTGGATAATTTGTCGCTTAAGGCAACAGATTCGTATTAAATACGGCGGATTGTTAACAGGCGAAGGGACAAACTCGACTTAGCGCGAAATTTTCCACTCCGCATTACACCCATGCCTCAGCCTTTTGCAAACCCCCCTGCTAAAGCTGAATTGTTGTTTATACTCATAAAAATGCCTAGTAAGGCTATTTGTATTAACTTATTTCACAAGCAAGCAAGCTACACAAGTAAACAGTCTACTCTAATGAAATTTTAGCGTCTTATAATTTAATTAATAATACAGCTACTAATTAACCTTTAATAACGTACCCTGCAGACGAGTTTCTCACACACCTAAGTTGCTTACTTTTGCTAAGACTACACTGCAACACACTCTATTATAGCCTATAATAACCTGCTCTAGCACTATATTATATAGTATAGCTTAGAATATTATGTAGAGACTACTTCTACTTCTTACTTACACATTTATGTGTTATGTCTAGTCTAATTACACTATCTATAACGTAATCCACCACTCACCTGGTCACACCACTCATCCGGCAGCCCCACCAAAATTGACGTGCCTCTCTACTAAGATGCCTCTACTACTACAGCAACAGCTCTAATTTGCTTATAAAAAAGGCAGATTAATTCTAGCTACCTCTGTCCTTTAAAGCTACTTAAATTTGTCTATTAATTGCGTTACAGCTCTATATAACACGCTTTAATTAACGCTCTAAACGCGCCTTGCAGGCGCCTAACTAAAGGCTGTTGCTAATGTAAAAAAATAAAAGCTATTACTTATTAAAAAGTAGTCTCTTATCTACTAAATACTAAACCTTAATTCGTAAAAATTTCTGCCTTATATTATTAACATGCGTTAAATAGCAGATGTTCTGCTCTAAGCTTGCAGCTAGGATCCTCCTTCTTGTCTAATAGGCAAGAACTAGGTATTACGCTTTATTAACATCTAGTAAGAGCTCTAGATAAAGTAGAATAGAAAAATACACTTTTAGCGCACTTTTTACTAAGATCTAGTTAAGTTTTATCTTAGTTTAAGCCTATAAAAGTAACACAGCTTAAGTATAAAATACTAAACAAAAATATTTATAATTTTAATAAGATAAGATTTATAATAGAGGTTGCTAGTTATATATTAAAAGTTATTACTAGCTTTAATTATGTTAGACAAGCAGCTGCTATTTAGCCTAGTAATTATAAGTAAGTTATAATAATTAAATGTGTTAATATATCTAAGTAGTTAATTTTACTACTTATTATCTTTATAGCTAAGCGCTATTAGACTAGCTAGTATTATAATATCTCTAGCAACTAGATAATTATAGTAAGTAATAATAGCTAGACAACTAACATACTTAGCCTGTTTTAACTAGAGCACTTTAATAATTACACTAAATTATATATAGCTAGAGTTTATTACTTGCATATACTTAATAGCTATAGTAGTTATGTAACACTAAAGTTTAATTAATACTATGTAGAAAATAAGATTATTAGTTTTTATATACTAGCTTATAGCAGCTATCTTTTATACCCTCTAGATGTTAGCTGCTTTACACTACTTAAGTAAGTATATAAATAGTAAGTGTTAGAGCTTATATATAATTATATTTTTTTTGTTAATAAGTAAGACTTTCTTACTATTTATAAGTATATTTGTATCGGCGCAGGCAAGACAATGGGTCCGAATGCGGAGGGAATCCACTCAGAGGCATATGGGAGTGCGTGGGGACTCTGAACCTGGGAATGCCATTGACACCTATAGGCCTTGTACGAAAGGATATCAGAAAACTACCAAGCTAGCTACAGGGGCGAGGTGCGACTAAATACATGAGGGAATAGGGGTAACTGCAGGGGACTGGGTCGAGTCATGGTCGGGGCCGATACGGGGACCCTTCGGATAGGATCAGAGCGACCCGAGATGGAACGATTCGTAGAATCGTTACAATATTAGGCCTACTTTATTCTCTAAGTAAAGCATTAAAAGCAGGTTTTAAGTAATAAGTCTAGTTCAATACAATTCTAATTACGTTCTATAATTGCTTCCTCCTGTCTAAACACTGTCTTTACTAGTATAAGAAGCTAACAGAGAGGGACCTCTAGCTGCAGAAACGCTGCGTACAGTTGTCTAGCTTTAGTAGTAGGCTTAACTAATTTATAACTACTTTAGGTGTTAATTACAAAGCTCTACTAGCTAGGCAATTACTTAAGTTATTAAATTATATAAAATTATAATATAGAAAACTATAATTCTTAACGTACTTTACAGGCGAGTTGCTTACACACCTAAGTTGCTTACTTTTGCCAAGACCACACCCTAACAAACTCTATTATAGCCTATAACAACCTGCTCTAGCACTATATAGTACAGTACAGCCTAGAATATTATGTAGATACTACTTTTACTTCTTACTTACATGTTTACGCATTATGCCTAGTCTAATTACACTGTCTGTAGCGCCTTTAGAATAGCTTACCTACTTTAGCTTACACTTACTTCTTTGCTTTCTTTCTATTACTGTGCGCTTTAAACTCCTTTAGAGCTGTTAAGTGTAGGCTTTTTTAAATTATTAAGGGTTTTCTACCTTAATTTGCTTTCTTTTATATAATTTATATTATATAGTAGCTTTATTAGCTACTTAAAGCTTAGTAATTTTTTATTATACTAATACTAGCTTATATATAATTATTACTACTTTTTTTAAAACTTTTTTAAACATCTTAACTATAAAAGTTAGTAAACTATTTATATGCTTTTAAGTTTTTATTTTTATAAACATTAATTATAACTTAAGTTTTAAAGTATTACTTAAGGTTTATAACTACTAGAGCTTATTCTATATAAGTAGTAGTTGTTAGTTAACCTAGGTTTAATTAAATAAACATACGCCTAAGAGGCGTACTAAGAGGTAAGTAGGCAAAGATCTTCTTGTTATTAACTACTGCCCTCTCTTTTTATATAAAAAAAGAGAGCTTTTAAGTACACATAGCCTCTAACATGTAGGCTAGATAGCTAATGTTTTAGGCAACCTAATTTAGCTATACATGTGTACAGACGCAGCTATACTTATATATAAACACTAGTAACTTTTTATTTTTATACAGTTACTTACTTATCTATATATTAATTCTACTTTTTTTTATTTATTTATTTACTTTTTTACTTTTATTTTTAAAGCTAACTCTTAGTGCTTTTTTTATTTATAATATCTCTTAGCTTTTTAGCTTATATATAATTTAACCTACTTTTAGAATAGTGCCTATGCTTAGCTAAAGTAAAAAAAAGTTTTTACTTAATTACATAAAAAAAGTTATTAAAATTATATGTTATTTATTTTTTAAAGTTATTCTACTTTTATAGAATGTACCTTTCTTTTAGTAGCTTACACATATTAAAAAGAATGTACACTATATATAAAGCTTATTATTATAGTAAAAAAGAGTTTATATTTATTTTATTATGTAGAAGATTTAAATCTACTTTTTATATAAAATTATTTTAAACACATGTGTAACCTCTAATAACTTTTTATATAAAGTGTATAAAGACACTATAGCTTAGAGGGGGAGTGTAGGTTAATTACCTTCTATGTAGGCAATTAATCCCTAGGGGGGGGAAGGTGTTAGTTAGTTACCTTCTATGTAAGTAATTAATCCCTAGAGGGGTAGAAAGTAGAGAGGGGGGAGGAGAGAGGTGTTAGTTAGTTGCCTTCTGTGCAAGCAATTAATCCCTAGGGGGGTAGAGAGTAAAAAGAAGAGAAAAAAAGGGTGTCAGTTAGTTATTGCCTCTTATATAGGTAATTAATTAAAAGGGGGGTGTTAACAAAGTAGGCTGCTAATAAAAAGCCTCCTCTGTGTAGCTACACACGCAGTAGGTTTCTAATTATGCAGCCTATATTATCTCCTCTGTGTAGCTACGCACGCAGTAGGCAAGTAGTTGCACAGCTTATATTAATAAAAGGCTCTAAGGCGCATAAAGGCTTAGTAGTAAGCCCTCTCTATATAGCTACGCACGCAGCAGGTTGCTAATTTTGTCTTTATGTAATTAGTTAATCTAGGGGCGCGCATAAGGCTTATTTACGCCCTCTCTACGTGGCTACGCACGCAGTAGGTGTGAGCGTCTAAGCCCTCTTTATATAGCTACGCATGTAGTAGGAGTAAGCTTTTTATATAGTAGCAGTTTTATTAATTCTTATAAATCTATCTATTAAGAATAATATCCTCTATGTAGCTACACACACAGTAAATAGTCTATTAATAGACTAATTAGTGTTAGTTAACCTAAGTGTAATTAAATAAACATACACCTAAAAAGTGTACTAAAAGGTAAGTGTAAGGCTAGATGTCCTAGAATAGGCTAGTATAGCCTCACCTAACCTGTTTAGAGGTTATATGACCTGTGCTTTGTATATAAGCATGAATCCTAACAAGCGAGGCTTGGCAGCGATTCGTCTCTCTTACAATACACTCCTATTTTTCTCCAAAAGCTTGCTCTCAGTGCTATCCGTGCTACCTACCATCCCATCTTTATAGTAAGTAAGTAAAGATTTTTTTATTATTAACTACTGCCCTCTCTTTTTATATAAAGAAAAAGGGCTTTTAAGTACACATAGCCCCTAACGCACAGGCTAGATAGCTAACGTTTTAGGCAACCTAATTTAGCTGTACGCGTGTACAGACGCAGCTGTACTTACGTACAGACAGTAGTAGTAATAAAGTGTGCAACTTTACATTAAGGCCTATTATAACGTATAATAAGTTAAAAAAAACTAATCTAGCGCTTTAAACCTTTTCTTAGATATTACTAAAGTAATTATAGCATTATAAGCTACTTTAAAGCATAGTAGAAACTTTATTTTTATAATATAAGTAATTTAGTTATATATAAGGTTTTTAGCTTAGCACTTATAC